CTTGCTGGTTTCACACTGTGGACCATGGCAGTTACCAGAGTGCTTATCAAAAATGCAGCTTTCTGGAACCCACCCATGAATAAGATTCTCTGTCTTGAGGCTCAGGAATTTGCATTTTCACGAGCTTGCAAGGTGATTCTGATACACACCCGTATTGGACAGCATTACCCTAATGTGTTGCAAATTCCCCTAGGGCAGTAAATTTTAGGATTTTTCCACAACATAACAGAGGTTGCAGATAGGCGGTTTACAGATGTCTTGGCCAGACAGTTGGGCTTCTTATTTTGGGGGAGTGTTGACATTTATTATTTATCTTTATAATTTATTATTAGGAGATTTCTTTAAAAGCTATCTGTTTCTGGCTTTTCTAAAGTAATTGAAAGAATAACAGGATGTTTTTGTTCTTACATAGCAGTGTACCTGTCAGGTGAATGGACACATGCTCTCCTCTGGTTCCCACCCCACCTCGTGCACAGCTCGGGCACAGGCATTCGTGTCTGCCCCGTGCCAGAAGGGCATGTGTATGTCATTTTGCCACTCCTACTACATGGAATAGATAGTTTCCATCATCTGAAAAATGACTTCCTATCTTGCTGGCCTTGATCTTCCAGCTTTGTTCTGCCCATCATTGGCCCTGTAGGTCACAGACTGTTAATTGAACACTTTCTCTATTTGAATTGTATGGTGATATTTTTGCCTAAGGTATTACAACAAGTTAAAAGAGAGCCATGCTTATCCCTCATATGTGTAATTGTGCATTTCCAAGCTCCACATGTATTTTGCACGCAAGCTCATAGTATGCTCTTTATTTACTAAGAGTATTACGTGGATGTCTTGTTAGATTGTCCCATTAACTTCACACTAACTCCTCAGAGTTTTTCGGCTTTGCTTCTTATCATAAGAACAGAGTTTAAAGTGGTTTAATCATTAATGTGATTATAAGTTTAATCATTTTTCTAACTCTAGCTTTTATTAAAATCAGTTTGAAATGTGCTTGATAATGTTGTCTTTCTACCTAATAAGTAATCAGTGCTTCTCAAAACTCTTATTAATCAAACATCTCTGGCATCTCCCAAGCACAAATATATACATAAGATAATGAAAACTAGTTTTAGTTTCCATTTTAAAATGTTGAATAGAACCAACTGTGTCAAAATAGCTTTCTAACTTTTTGTTATGAAAAATTTGAAGCATACAAAAGTAGAATGAACTGATGGCTAATCTTATTTCATCTGTACCACCCTGCTCATTCCTCCACCCTTAGATTATTTTTGTCAAATCCAAACATCATATTAATACACCTGTAAATACTTTAATGTATATCTGTCAAAGAAAAGGGCTCTTTTAAAAGCATGACACTAATACCAATATTTTAAAATTTAATATAATAATAATTAAGATCATCATATATCTAGTAATTTTGTATTTAATAATCATATATCTAGTAATTTTTGCTCTTGTCTCGTAATTTTGTTATTAGTTTGGTCTCTTAAGTCATTTAATTTGTAGGTTCCACCTCTCTCTCTCTCTTTCTGTCTCTCTCTCTCTTCTCACTTCTCTCTCGTCATTTCTCAACTTCTTTGTTGAAGAAACCTGCAGTTCCTACACAGCACCCCTACAGGGTACCCAGTCTTGGTCTCTACATACCATTTACCCCTGTATGAAACCAGGACTCCATGTAGAAGTGGCTAATTCCACGTCTGGATCAGGATCAGGAAAAATACAAGAAGATCCAAGAGCGTCTTGTCAGGCCAGAAAGAAAGGAAACTATTAAAGGCCACAGAGTTCGTATCAAAAGGACTCAGGAGCCAACTTGAAGAGGCTGCTACTGGTTAAAGATGAGACAATTAGAGGATAAATAAGAAAAATCACAGTAATAGATTGAAACATCAAATAAGTTGAAATCCATGCATTCGTAATGATAATCAAAATACAACAAAAATCCTAACCTTTGGAGAATGCTAGGGAACCAATGCATTATTTTGAAAACTGGCTAATAAAGGGGGAAAAATCAGTTACCCTATCTTTCCTATATGAACTGTACCTCATGGTAACCAAACAGTTGATGAAGTAAGTTGTTCTTCGCCTAAAGAAGGTGTAATAGAATATTGTTATTTCGCAAACCCTCATGAGATATCTGAGCAGTGATGGTCAAAGGGGGCTGACGTCATGAGAGCCCCACCATGTGGAGGTCATAGAACCAGCCTGAAGCGTTCCTGCAAAGAAAATGAAGGCTTTCTCCTTGGCTTCTGAAGATTGTAGTACCTTTGTTGGAGGGAGAGAAAAAGACCCTGTATTTTTTTTCTCTGACTCGGAGAAAAAAGCGAAATATTAGGGTTATAAGAAAAAAGTAAATTGGAACCTTACTAGTGAGACAAGAATTCTCAATTAGACAACAAAAACTTTAAAATAACCGAGCTCAAGTACATAACTAAAGGGAAAAGAGGCTGCTGGGAACATTTACACGAGGACCAAATGGAAACCTTCCTATTAGGGTCAAGGCCTCTCAATTAGGCAACACAAAAAGTTTAAAATGTAAAATGACCATTCTTGTTAAAGTTCATGGATGCAGAAGTGGCTGCAGGGAATGTTTAAGACGTGGCTTTGTCAGCCGGCTTGTGGCTCAAACAGTTAAGTCACAACCTTTCCACCTGTGTTTCCTCATCTGTAAAACAGGAACAAGAACATTATCTGCCTCCTAGCGTTGTGTAGGGTTTAAGTGAGGTAATGCCCTAAAGCACACGTAACTGCTCAATAAATGTTATCCACAGTAAAACTTAATAATGTTATCGTTATGATTATGCCATGACTCTCACAGTTGTTCTACATTTTCAGAAAATAGAGCTACAAGGGAGCATGTAACTCAGGAAAGCCTCACACTCCCGTCTAATGAGTGAGTCAAAGTGAGCTTACAAAACACTGTCTATTTAAGTAGGCATTGACAATTTAACATCAGTCTACTCAGAAGTGCCTAGGTAGTTTTTTTCTTTAAATCTTCTGGCCTGAAAATGTTTTAAAATTTCCTGTATCTATGCTATTATTTTATTATAAATACATTTTTTGGTAGAAACCCCTTAATCAAACAATTAAACGTGGGCATTTATTTATGTATGTAGTGGCTGCTGATTCTTGGGGAATGAACCATCCCTTCCCCTTCCAGAGAAGTACCACATCAAGTGTCAAACCAACAGAACTGCACCAGACAGAAGGCACCAGAACACAGCCTCAGAGGCAGGTCGTGCTTGCAACTCAGCTTAGGTCCGCAATGCTAAATGTCTCAGTTGTGAGTCTGATTCATAATTTTATAAGAGCCTACCTCCAGATGTTTATTAGACAAATGTCCAGATTCAATATAGACTATTACCAGTACAGAGCTAATTCTCTCCACCCCCTAACCATAGTTGAGGGCTAATATGACTTATGTACAGCCTCTTTTCTCCTTGTGTCCTGGGAACACGAACACTGACACTCATCCTCATCATCGGATGCATCTGTTGCATAGCAAAAATGATATGAAAATAAATTTGAGTGCACATTAAGTCTATAATGTAGTGAACGATGGAAAAATGTTTTTATGTTGTGAGGGTGAGGTACCAATATATTGCAGTTTTCTTTGTGGTCCTTTTTTTAAAAAAAAAACTCCACTGTGGTAAAATAACTTTCAGTCTGAAACAAAATCCTTGTTGGGTTTTTGTTTAAGAATGTTGTCTAAGATGTTTTACTCTGGTAGTGATCTGCTTTTGAACTAGATCTTCCTGAAGCAGGCTGTAAAAGTCTAGGGCAATTAAACAATTGTTTAAAAGCCATTTTAGCTGCAGCAGCATGTGTTGTACAAAGATGTCAGGCCGATGGCCAGGAGCAGGGCTAGATCTCCCTCACAGAGAAGAGGTAAAGAGACCAACACCAGTAGGGGAAAGGAGCCAGCGGGAATACATGCTGGCGGTTTCCCAGTCTTACTCGCCTCTCCCAGGAGTCCCTGCTCTGCGGGAATGGGAACGCAGCAAGGGCAGAGCAAGCAGAGAGGTCAGAGCAATGGCTGGCCTTCCTCCGGATAATGAGCTAGAAAAGAAACTAAAGACCTTAAGGGGGCAATCAAGTATTTCAAAAGTAGAGAGAGGGACATAGGATGATAAAGAGAACCTGGTGTCAGACAGCCCCAACAGACATAGAGACCCCAGGTATGATTGCAGGACAAGTTAAAAGCCTGTGAATACAAAATTTTTTTTAAAAATTTATAAGTTAAATCATATCTTGATTAAATTAATTGTGAATAATTACATATTTATGAAAAAGGTATCAAATTGTATTCCAGCTGAGTGTTTATTTGAATTTTATGTGCAATTTCAGCCTCCTTCTCTCCTTCCCTCTCCTGTAATATGTACTCTTCTTAGTATCACTGGTTTAGTTGTTTTATTGAAAAATTCTATTTTTGAAGACTACGATCATTGACTAGAAAAGGATTTTCGTCTCCTTATGTGTTATCTGCACTCCCAGGGACCCTGGCTATTTAGAGCATGAATTTCTAACCAGGGTACCATCGCTCAACAAAATGTCCTAATTACCAGCAAAATGTCTAAGAGGAAATAAATGTTAAGTTTTTGAACATCAACCTACAAAGTGACTAAAATCACATAGCATCTATCTAGATAAGAGTGCAGGGAGATCATAAATAGGCCAGAATTCAGGAAGGCCAAAGAGTGTGTCACCCAAACGACAGGTGAGTTTCGCCTTTAGGAATTGCCCTTCTGTGCCCCTTTAGAATTCTTTGGTCCCTGTGTTGGACCGCCACTTGTTATCAGAGTTCTTGAGCTTAGAAGGGGGAGCCTTCACCCTCCACAGAACACTGCAGAGTAGACCATAACATGTCTCTCTGAAGTTTTCCAACAATCCAGTGTCCTCTCTTTGAATGAGTGCAGTTTAACATCATTGTGGATCTGCCACATTGAACATATTGTTGTCTGCCTGCCTCGACATTATGTTAATATGCTCATTCCCTCCAGGCGTCATCCTCTATATTCTGCTGGTGGGATATCCCCCCTTCTGGGATGAAGACCAACACAGACTCTATCAGCAGATCAAGGCTGGAGCTTATGATGTGAGTAATAAATGTTCATATCGCTTTAGATGAGGGTTTGTTTTTTGTTTATTGACCAAGAACCAGATGTTTTCTTTGCTATTTTAACCAAAATTTTCAACAATTTCCCTTGTTATTTTCTTTTCTCTTAGGGAAGGGGAGGTAAAGAGTAAGAAATGCAGCATATATGTGCAGTTTGCATTTCCTTTTAGCTCGCTCTCTCCTAAGATTGAAAGGAAAACAGTTTGAAGTACCTGAGGAAGGACCTTGCTTGTCAAAATGCTTGGATCTTAGTGCATTTTAAAACATATAAAATTGAAAGATTTTTCTTTAGAAATGATTACTGCCTGTTTAGTTGACTATTATTCCCAAATGCCTATCATATTATTTTATTTTTTGCTCTTTAAGATTTAACTTTATTTTTTATTTTTTTTATTGAGGTAACATTGGTTTATAACATTATATAAATTTCAGGTGTACATCATTGTGTTTCAGTTTCTTTGTAGACTACATCGTGTGCACCACCCAAAGTCTAATTGCCATCTGTCACTGTACACATGTGCCCTATCAGCCTTCTCTCCCTCCCCCCTCCTTCTTTCCCCTCTGGTAACCACCAATCTATTCTCTGTATCTGTGTGTGTGTTTGTTATTGTTGTTTTTTTTTATCTTTCACATATGAGTGAAATCATACAATATTTGGCTTTCTCTATCTTACTTATTTCGCTTAGCATAATGCCCTCCAGGTCCATCCATGTTGTCGCAAATGGCAAGATTTCATCCTTTCTTATGGATGAGTAGTATTCCATTGTATAAATATATACCACATCTTCTTTACCCATTCATCCATTGATGGGCACTTAGGTTGTTTCCAAGTCTTGGCTACTGTGAATTAATGCTACAGTGAATATAGAGGTGCATATATCTTTTCGAATAGTGTTTTCGTGTTCTTTGGATAAATACCCAGCAGTGAAATAGCTGGATCATATGGTAGTTCTATTCTTACATTTTTTGAGAAATCTCCATACTGTTTTCCATAGTGGCTGCACCAATTTACATTCCTACCAGCAGTGTACAAGGGTTCCCTTTTCTCCATATCCTCTCCAACACTTGTTATTTCTTGTCTTTTTAGTAATAGCCATTCTGATGGGCGTGAGGTGATATCTCATTGTAGTTTTGATTTGCATTTCCCTAATAATTAGTGATGTTCAGTATCTTTTCATGTGCCTGTTGGCCATCTATACATCTTCTTTGGAAAAATGTCTGTGCAGATCCTCTGCCATTTTTTAATTGGGTTGTTTGTTTTGTGGTTGTTGAGTTGTATGAGTTCTTTGTATATTTCGATATTAACCCCTTATCAGATATATGATTTGCAAATATATTCTCCCAGTTGGTGGGTTGTTTTTTCGTTTTCTTCCTGGTTTCCTTTGTCTTGCAGAAGCTCTTTAATCTGATGTAGTCCCATTTGTTTATTTTTACTTTTGTTTCCCTTGCCCGAGTAGACATGGTATTTGAAAAGATCCTTCTAAGACTGATGTCCAAGAGTGTACTGCCTATATTTTCTTCTAGAAGTTTTATGTTTTCATGTCTTAGCTTCAAGTCTTTAATCCACTTTGAGTTAATTTTTGTGTATGGCAAAAGATAATGATCTACTTTCATTCTTTTGCATATGGCTGTCCTGTTTTCCCAACACCATTTATTGAAGAGACTTTCCTTTCTCCATCATGTGTTCTTGGCTCCTTTGTAGAAGATTAGCTGTCCGTAGATGTGTGGTTTTATTTCTGGGCTTTCAATTCTGTTCCATTGATCTGTGTGTCTGTTTTTGTACCAGTACCATGCTGTTTTGATTACTATAGCTGTGTCGTATATTTTGAAGTCAGGGATTGTGATACCTCCAGCTTTGTTCTTTTTTCTCAGGGTTGCTTTGCCTATTCAGAGTCCTTTGTTGTTCCATATAAATTTTAGGGTTCTTTGTTCTATTTCCATGAAGAACATCATTGGGATTCTGATTGCGATTGCATTGAATCTGTAGATTGCTTTAGGTAGAATGGACATCTATGTTTATTCTTCCAATCCATGTGCATGGAGTATCATTCTATTTCTTTATGTCATCATTGATTTCTTTCAATAATGTCTTATAGTTTTCATTATATAGATCTTTCACCTCCTTGATTTAATTTATTCCTAGATATTTTATTCTTTTTCTTGAGGTTGTAAATGGGATTGTATTCTTGTCTTCTCTTTCTGTTAGTTCATTATTAGTTTATAGACATGCAACTGATTTTTATAAGTTGATTTTGCACCCTGCAATTTTTCTGTAGTTGTTGATTATTTCTAGTAGTTTTCTAGTGGATTCTTTAGGGTTTTCTATATACAGAATCATGTCATCTGCAAACAGCAAGAGTTTCATTTCTTCCTTTCCAGTTTGGATCCCTTTTATTTCTTTTTCTTGCCTGAAGCTCTGGCCAGAACCTCTAGTACTATGTTGAATAGGAGTGCCAAGAGTGGACACCCTTGTCTTATTCCTGTTCTCAGAAGGATGGCTTTCAGTTTTTCACTGTTAAGTATGATGTTGGCTGTGGGTGTGTCATATATGGCCTTTATTATGTTGAGGTACTTTCCTTCTATACTCATTTTCTTGAGTACTATGCTGTTTTGATTACTATAGCTTTGTAGTATATTTTGAAATCAGGGAGTGTGATACCTCCAGCTTTGTTTTTTTTCTCAGGATTGCTTTGGCTATTCAAGGACTTGTGTTGTTCCATATAAATTTTAGTATTATTTGTTCTATTTTGGTGAAAAATGTCATTGGGGCTTTGATAGAGATTGCACTGAATCTGTAGATTGCTTTAGGAAGTATGGACATTTTAACTGTGTTAATTCTTCCAATCTATGAGCACGGAATATCTTTCAATTTCTTTGTGTCTTTTTTGATTTCTTTCAACAGTGTTTTATAGTTTCCAGTGTACAGGTCTTTCACCTCTTTGGTTAAATTTATTCCTAGGTATTTTATTCTTTTTGTTGTGATTGTAAATGGGATTGTATTCTTGATTTCTCTTTCTGCTATTTTGTTGTTAGTATAGAAACACAATTGATTTTTGTATGTTGATTTTGTATCCTGCAACTTTACTGTATTTGTTTATGATTTCTAATAGTTTTTTGGTGGATTCTCTAGGGTTTTTTATATATAAAATCATGTCATCTGCAAATAATGACAGCTTTACTTCTTCCTTTCCAATTTAGATCCCTTTTAATTCTTTTTCTTGCCTGATTGCTCTGGCTAGGACTTCCAATACTATGTTAAATAAAAGTGGTGAAAGTGGGCATCCTTGTCTGGTTCCTGTTCTTAGAGGGACAGCTTTCAGTTTTTCACTGTTTAGTATGATGTTAGCTGTGAGTTTGTCATATATGGCCTTTATTATGTTGAGATACTTTCCTTCTATATCCATTTTATTTAGAGTTTTTATCATAAGTGAGTGCTGTGTCTTGTTGAAAGCTTTCTCTGCATCTACTGAGATGATCATGTGATTTTTATTCTTCATTTTGTTAATGTGGTGTATCACGTTGATTGATTTGCAGATACTGAACTATCCTTGTATCCCTGGAATAAATCCCACTTGATCATGGTGTATGATCCTTTTAATGTATTGTTGTATTCGATTTGCTAATATTTTGTTGAGGATTTTTGCATCTATGTTCTTCAGTGATGTTGGTTGGCCTGTAATTTTCTTTTTTTGTGTTGTCCTTGTCTGGTTTTTGTATAAAGGTAATATTGGCCTCGTAGAATGAGTTAGGAAGCATCCTCTCCTCTTCAAATTTTTTGAAGAGTTTGAGAAGGATAAGTACTAAATCTTCTTTGAATGTTTGGTGGAATTCACTGGGGAAGCCATCTGGTCCTGGACTTTTGTTTTTTGGGAGATTTTTGATTACTGTCTCAATCTCTTTACTAGTGCTTGGTCTATTCAGATTCTCTATTTCTTCTTGATTCAGTTGTGAAAAGTTGTATGAGTCTAAGAATTTATCCATTTATTTTAGATTATCCAATTTGTTGGCATATAGCTTTCCATAGTATTCTCTTATCATCTTTTGTATTTCTGAGGTGTCCATTGTAATTACTCCTCTTTAATTTCTGATTTTATTTATTTGAGCCTTCTCTCTTTTTTTTCTTGGAGAGTCTAGCTAAAGATTTGTCAATTTTGTTTATCTTTTTAAAGAACTAGCCTCTTAGTTTCATTAATCTTGTCTATTGTCTTTTTAGAGTTTCTTCATTTATTTCTGCTCTGAATTTTATTATTTCCTTCTTTTTACTGATTTTGGGCTTTGTTCTTCTTTTTCTAATTCCTTTAAGTGCACTGTTAGGTTGTTTATTTGAGATTTTTCTTGTTTCTTGAGGTAGGCCTGTATTGCTATGAACTTCCCTTTTAGTACTACTTTTGCTATATTCCATAAATTTTGACATGTTATATTTTCATTTTCATTTGTCTCCAGGTATTTTTTGATTTCTCCTTTGATTTCTTCCTTGTCCCAATAGTTGTTCTGTAGCATTTTGTTTAATGTCCACGTATTTGTGAGTTTTCCAGTTTTCTTGTAGTTGATTTCCAGTTTCATGCTGTTGTGGTCAGAAAAGATGCTTGGTATTATTTCAATCTTCTTAAATTTATGGAGACTTGTTTTGTGGCCTAATATGTGATCTATCCTAGAGAATGTTCCATGTGCATTTGAAAAGAATATGTATTCTGCAGTTTTTGGATGGAATGTTCTGTATATGTCCACTAAGTTCATCTGGTCCAACGTGCCATATAAGGCCAGTGTTTCTTTATGGATCTTCTGTCTAAATGATCTATCCATTGATGTAAGTGGAGTGTTAACATCCCCTACTATTATTGTGTTATCGTCGATTTCTCCTTGTATGTCTGTTAATAACTGCTTTATGTAGTTAAGTGCTCCTACGTTGGGCACATAGATATTTACAAGTGTTATGTCCTCTTGTTAGATTTTTCCATTTATCATTATGTAATGCCCTT